ATAGTGTGGTAGATATGTGGGGGCGTGTTAGAATGAGCCGTTTTAGGGGGGCGTGGCAGAGTCTTAACTTTGATAAAGAATATCTCTTTGGTTTTGAGACTTTAGTCTTTGCAACTTTAGGGATCTTATCTATGCACAATCAGCTTGTAACACTCCAAAGAGAAAGGAAAACTTGAAATCGCATCATATGACCCCTTTAAGTCAAAAATTGAACAAAAACTCAATTACGTAAGTGTTCCTCAAACGGTCCGATGCGCGTGTAAACAAAACTTCATTTCCCACACTGCAAAGCATCAAACGCTTCTTCAAACAGCTGACTGAGGGTGAGACCTATGCGAGCGCTTCTCAGAGGGCTTCACGGGATATACATACAACGTTTGAGGCGGAACAAGCTGACTACGCGTCCTGTCTGGCTGTCAAACCAGTCCACGAGTATGTTTGAGGAGTATGCTTGCGCTCTGAACTAGTACATAACTCGCTTGGAGTAGGACTGGCAACTCCGTTTACTCTACATGCGTTTACAAACATGTCTTTGGACTAGTGTTTGCTGTAGTTCGAGCCCGAGCCCATGCCCCTAAAGCCGTGCCAATGCCGAGGAATGGATACTAGTGTCTCTGGCAAAGTTGGAAACATGGTCGCAAGTGATGAGGAGCATTTGGACGCGAGCGATGGCAGTAACGCAGGGATGGACGCGCTACACCAGTGCGAACTCATCCAGAACCTGATCGAGATCTCCATCTCTAGTCTGAAGGGGCTTCGGACCAAGTGCGCCGCATCTAACGACCTGACCCAACACGAGATACGCGCTTTGGAGGTAATGTTTTTGCCTATGTGTATTTTAAGTAGGCTAATAATCTACAGTGCATGCCAGGTTGCAGGTTGTTAAATCAAGTAAGTGCCATGACATTAGTGCGATCCAGTATTAGACGGTGTATGATAGTTCTTGATATGCCTAAATAATGAGGTTTGCTTTGTAGTTGCACCTTCAAGTCAATATTCATTTTATTGCCTATTAATATATTGACACCAAATTCATAAATGATAGGGGTCATGGAAACCCCCTCTTGGCTGACATTACTTCCTGGATATTAAAGTAGTTGTTTAGGGTGCATCTGCCTACCCCCTCCTGATGTAAAGTTTTACTTGTGTAGCCTAGTGTGCATTGCTAAGTAGAAAAGTTTCGCACTTGAAGAAATGAACAGCACTTGAAGAAATATCATGGAGCAGGTTGCTCCTTTATATGCACCACCTTGTTGAGATCACATGACCAGCTGTGTCATGAAAATAATAATATGTTTACTTTATATGGTGCATTCAGCCATAAACAGACATTTAAGCCATACAACAAACATTTTCTGTAATTATTTTACATAAAGTTATTGCAGTAGTGCAATGAACTTTTATTTCCTTTTTTTAAACAAAGGTGTAAATGCTTTCATATTGAGTAATTTTCATACTCAACCTTATGATAATCACTGCAACGGAATACTTTCGTGTATCGCAGATGAGTAAACTAGTCAAAGTCTGTAGCTGTTTTAAAAATACATGTTCCATGTCAAACAGCCTGTTATCTCAGTTTAGTTCTGCAAACAAGAGGAGCATATGTCAGAGGAGTATTAGTGCTATTTTTAACCATACGCAGGTATTTTTCAACAGTGGTTAACCCCTCCCACAAAAGTGAACTGAAATGCCAAGTTGGTCAAACATGTGGAACAGCATCACTTTTAATATTATTATGGTTGTATATAATAAAACACCATAAATTAGGGCTTTTCTCTGAAGATGAAATTATCTACTACTTATTAAGGTCAAGCACCTTCTTCTCTGAATCAAAACATGGCTATCATGTTGACAGCTCACAAACTCTCACTTTTAAATAATCAAGATGGGCTTGAGGCTTTGTTAAATAAACCGTTATTCTTTGAAATGTTAATGATGCTAGTTGTCATGGACACAGGTAATTGTGGCATTGTGGTGTGTCTGTTCCTGCTTTGGTGAAACTTATCTGCAGGTTTTGTACGTCTAGGGAGGCACTTCATTGTTTCTCATGATAAAATTCAAAAATAACTCTCGTTCAAGTCATGTTACATTTTTTTATCACTTTCCTTATTATCAGCCAAGTGCAAGAACAAGAATAAAATGCATGTCCTTTGAAACAGTAATATTTATATAACAGTATGATAATGTGTGATTTCCCAAGGCCACATGGTGAACTGTAATTACAAGAAATTTACAATAAATATAAAGCAATATGTACCCAGCGTGCTATATAAAAGCTTAAAAAATGGTGTTAAGTATAGTGCAGGCAGTGTCAGAGAGACTTGAATTGCAAGATGTAAACGCAGAGTCTAGTGCTCATAAAATGACTGTAATGCGGCAAGGATTGTGCTGAGGTAGAACAATAACAAGCAGAGTCAGGAGTATGGGTTGCATTTCTGCATTGGGTGGGGGTGGACAGTCCCATTTGTTGATTGTCAGAGCTATTGGATAGTCTAACAACTTGGAAGTCTAGTGGTTTTGGATTCTTCAAGCTTCCTCCAGATGAAACTAACAAGAGATGGACTGATAATGTTGCTGTTAGCCTTTCTGTTCAATCCTTGTTAGCTGGAAGTGTGGTTCCAGTGACAAACTGAGCTATTTTTACTACCCACAGCAGAGCTCTTTTGTCTAAAGCAGAGCAGTTAACATACCAGACAGTGATCCAGCAGGTAACACAGGTACTCTCTATGACACACCTGAAGAAGCTGTTACATTTTCACTGGCTAGCCTAAGTCTCTTATGGAAGAAAGGTACTTTCAGGTTAAGGATGAGGTGTTCAGGGTTCATGTGTTAAGGTCATTGTTAAGGTGACATCTTTGTCTGAACTCTCTAATCGTGTCATTTTGTGATTGTTTTCTTTTTACCAGACTTTGAGCTGTCTTACCTTTTCCCTGTATGCTGTCTTGTTGATATCATCAACTTATGTAATTGCTTTGATGTTCCACGACAGTCTCGGGTCAGCGAGGTAGGTATTGCAGTGGACTCGGTACACTACCCCGGTGACACCAGTGTTAAGAAAGGTTGCCTTTGAAGTCAAGGAACAGCAGGTGGCCTTGGCTCTTTTAATACCTGTGGAGATGTAGGTTCAGCTGAAGAGCTGTGGCCATCAAAAGCCTGTTGTGGTAGGATGAGAGAAGACGGATACAGTGAAAATGGTGTCAGGCCTCAGAGAGTGGCTTGACATCCCAAGGGCCGTCTCAGAATTAGGGACATGGTGGCCTGGCAACCTGAGTCCCTGGCTGCAGCATCCGGGTGGTGGCACGGGATTCCCTACCTGCTCACTTCCTGGACCTACAAGGATACACTTTGCATACCCAGGGACCAGAGACCAATCCCCTGAGGTTATAAAAATTTTCCCAGAGAGAGCAAACTCTCTGATTGTAAAGTCCTACTCCTGGAGAGCCACTTTTCTGTGGAGTACACCTGTCCATCGTCCAGTTTAGCTTCAATCTAACATGAAAAATCTAACCAAAGTCTTCAGGGTTACCTGAAAGTTACAGGCTGGTGTGTTTGACTAGGTTTGAGCTAATCTCTGTTGGACAACTTTCTCCAGCAGCCCCTGCTCAAAGGTTTCTAGTAACTTTGTAAGAAATTAACCCTCCAGGAGCAGGATTGGGCACCCCTGATATAAGGAGAAGCGGTCATTCGGTCACACATTGGATTTCAGCGTTTATCCAAGGTCTTATATTGGGTGGTGTGGTGATCAACGCCCTTGTTGATGTAAGCTATGACTGATACATATTCCTCCATTTAATCTTCATTAAACTTAACCTCATTGAAAATATCCCAATCAGTGCCACCAAAACAGTTGAGCAGGACTTTGTTTGCTACCTCTGGACACACTTGAATTACTAGGTGACCTGTTTTCCCGGCACTCAAAGCGAAGCACAGAGAGATGGTGCTAAATGGCAATTATCGTTTAGATTCCTGTCAGTAAATCTCACAGAATTCCTGTAGATGAACTGGCTGTCTCTCTGTGTGGTTGGCAGCTGAGAATCTCTGGTTAGTGGCTTGTCTTCTCTGGCCATTGGAAAGATCGCTGTGTGTTTGTGCTATTGTGGCTGTTCCTATATTTAGCAAGCGTGTTCCCTTCATATGCATGTGATTAGTGAGCAAGATTCCTCAGTCCGAGGGAGGGTTTGTGAAAGTGAATCTGACTCTGCATGCTACAATCCCGTAATGCCGCAACTCCACTAAACACTTTTGTGTAGACAGAGGGCATCCATCAAAGGGCTGAAGAACAAAAGTGATGGAAAGTCCAGGCAATGTGTTCCTCCCTCTCTCTGCTTGAACAATAAGCCTGCATGTGAGAGGCAGGCCGAATTGCATTAGGAGTAGGGTTACATCAAGCACTCAGAATAAACTGTGTAGACTGTGTGTTTATGGATATTGGAGAAGACAAGCAGTTTGCAAAATTACATGTCTTTTATCTGTCTCAATGGGGGAACAAAAGAAAATCCTTAGGTTTTTGTTTGATTTAGTGAGGGGAACAGATGCAGACCTGGACACTAGCAGATGTCCAACAACTATGTGTTACACAATTACTTAACCAATGGGTGTTACGTTTCTGTCCGGGAGTAGACCCACACTCTCCCCTTGTAAAGATGTCAGGCATTCATATTGACAACGATTTATTCTGGAGGTCACCAAGTCGTTGTACTAGTAGGTGGTGCTGCTTGACTTCTGTAATCAATTGTATCAGGAAGTGGATCACTCCAGGTGGACCTCCCATTGGCAGTTGCCAACTTTCATTGAAAACACACAACTTTGTGGGTGCAAATCATGAAGGACCCTTTAGGATTTATTAAAAAATTGCAGTGGCATTAACAGTTCAGTATCATGTATGATTCATGTGAAACATACTCAGTTTTAGTTCTTTTTGGCTATTTCATGAATTTAAATTGTATTTGTCTCCACAGAGATGCAAATCTTTTCTGTTGTATTATATGTGCCCTCATTTAAGCTTTGGTGAGTTGTGGGACTGTTTAAAACTAGTTTAGCACAGAAGTGTGTCATCTGTTTCATGCCGTTTATTTTCAGAACGAAATGTCGGTCAGTCTGCACTCAAGTGTGAAATTATACCGCTTAATCTTGCACATTATTTCTTCATCTTGTGATAAGTGTAAGTCCCTTCAATGAAATTTGTGTTGAAGTCACATCATCTTTGTCTTTCAGTGCCGTCATCTGGCTATCACTAAATGTTCTCCACAGGCTCAGTACAGATCTGGCCACAACCACTCTGTGGCCTGAGTCTGTCGGTTTGCAAGACTATGTGTTCTCAGAAGCAAATCATGCATCTGTGTAAAATGTGTAGATGCAAGTTTTTTATTGCTCAGGAAGTGCTGTGTATTGAAGTCACATTTCCTACTTGTTTTGTGCTGGTGAAAAAACAGTACATCAAGCACTCAGAATAAACTGTGTAGACTGTGTGTTTATGGATATTGGAGAAGACAAGCAGTTTGCAAAATTACATGTCTTTTATCTGTCTCAATGGGGGAACAAAAGAAAATCCTTAGGTTTTTGTTTGATTTAGTGAGGGGAACAGATGCAGACCTGGACACTAGCAGATGTCCAACAACCATGTGTTACATAATTACTTGACCAATGGGTGTTACCCACACTCTCTTCTTGTAAAGATGTCAGGCATTCATATTGACAGCGATTTAGTCTGGAGGTCACCAAGTCATTGTACTAGTAGTGGTGCTGCTTACCTGCTGTAATCAATTGTTTTAGGAAGTGGATCATCTCAGGTGGACCTCCCATTGGTAGTTGCCA